ACTGCTAACCTTAAGGTTCGCAGCCCGATTCGTAACCACTACGAAGTGTACATATATTAGGAATGTACATTTGCTTGGCCCCTACAAAGGCCTTGGAAGGTGGAAGTCACCATTGACTTTCATGAGCTTTGTGGTACATTTCCACCTGAGTAAGAGGGGAGACACTTTGACACCAAGTCTGTATTCCCGGCAGTGAAGTGGTGCTGCATGGGGGTCGTCCTCAGATTGTCAGAATCATGGTACAAAAGAAGGTAGGTTACATCTCCTGGTATACTGGTAAGTGGAGGGTAGTAGATGGAAGTGGGCATGTCAGCAGTGCAGTTCTATGAAAAGAAGCAATGAAGAGTGATTGTCCCTATGTCTTCCTCTTTGATTAGGTGGCTTGCAGAGTCAGCTAGATGGCTGATTGTCAACAATAAACCAGATGAGGGCTTAAAGGAACTTAGAAAAGTTGCACGCATCAATGGAATAAAGAATGCTGGAGAGCTCTTGACTATAGAGGTGAGGTGGAAAGGGAATTTGATGAGGGGAAGTAGGGAAGACATACTTGACCTCTACACTAGTCAGTGTGCATAAGGGAAGCAGAGGGTAGAATGCAGGCATGGTTATGAGCCTTCCTCTCTCACTGTCCTAGTTCGAAATGGGTATCAACAGAACATTGTAGGGCTGGCACTGAAGGAGAATGTGCTGACAAGGATTGGACACAGTTATTTGGACTCAACAGAAGCAAAATGCATCGGGTATTCGTAAATGGAGAGGTTGTGCTCTGGTCTCTCAAATTTTGTAAGGTATAGTGACCCAAATGAATCCATTCTTTTTCAGTGAATAATCTTTGGGTCTTATTTCAGGATGCTAAGGCCAGTAGAAGGAACTGTTAGTTATCCTTGGAAGAGAGCATAACAGAGATTTACTTACTTCGTCATTCATTCATGCATGCATTGATTCAAGATATATTTAGTGACTGATTAACCGGGTGCCAGGTTCTGTGCTAGTCCTGGGAATATGGCAATGATAGCAGCAATCACAAATCCCTATTTTGTAGAACGTATATTTTTCGTGTTACACATTCCAAGAGCATGACTGAACGCAATATTTAAGAGGCTGTGTTTTGTTATTCACAAGTATAAGAATTAGCTATTGCTATAGATCATTAAGTAAATATTCATCAAGTCATGCCTATACATAGATATTTATTGAACAATAATAGTGTGCCAAGCATAGGGCTAAACCATGAATAAGTTAGGGTCCTGATCTTCAAGGAACATTCACATGAATCTGACAGAGAAAAAATCATGTTGTCAAGTATCGTTGAGTCATGTCACTCCCAGGTACAGCAGTCCTGTGTCATCCCCAGTCATAGTTATGTTTGAGCCCACTGTTGCAGACAATATCAGTCCATCCTATGGAGGGTCTTCCTCTTGTTCACTGGCTCTACTTTACCAGGCATGATGTCCTTCTACAGGGACTGGTCATCTCTCATCCTCCCTTTTAAAGATCATTCTTCCAAGACAGATTTGCTTGTTATTCTGGCAGGGCTTGGTAGATTCAACATTATTCACCACTGCCATAATTGTTATTAAGTGCCATCAAGTCGGTTCTGACTTATAGTGACTTTGTATAGGGTTTCCAAGGAGCAGCTGGTGAATTTGAACTGCCGACCTTGTGGTTCAAACCAACCTTGGGTTCAGTGCACTATTCCACAGTGTCACACCAGAACTCCACAATACCATACACAGGTCTTCCTTATTCATTGGCCAGTTTCTACAAGCATATGAAGTGATTGGAAATACCATGGATTCTATCAGGCATACTTCAGTTCTCAAAGTGATATCTGTGCTATATAACACTTTAAAGAGATCTTTCACAATTTGCCCAGTGCAATACTTTGTTTGATTTTTTGCCTGTCACTTCCATGAATATGGATTGTGGATCCAAATAAAATGAGATGCTCGACAAACTCAATATTTTCTCTGTTTACCATGATTCTACTTATCGATCCAGTTGTGAGGATGTTTTTATTTCTTTATGTTGAGGTGTAATCTATACTGAAGACTTTAGTCTTTGTTCTTCATCAGTTAAATGCTTCAAGTCCTCTTCACTTCCAGCAAGCAATGTATGTCATCTGTATACCACAGATTGTTAACAAGTCTTTCTTCTATCTTAATGTCACTTTCTTAATCATATAGTCTAGCTTCTTAAATTACTTGCTTGGCATACAAATTGAATAAGTATGGCAAAGAAATATAACCCTGACACACACCTTTCCTGATTTTAAACCATACAGCATCCCTTTGTTCTCTTTGAACTACTGCCTTTGGGTTCATGTATATGTTCTAAAAGAGCTCACTTAGGTGTTCTGGAATTCTCATTCTTTGCAATCATAATTTGTTATGATCCATACATTTGAATGTCTTTGCATAGTGAATAAGGCCAAGTGAACATCTTTCTAGTATTCTCTGCTTTCACCCAAGATCCATCTGATATCAGCAATGATATCCCTAGTTTTACATTCTCTTCTGAATCTGACTTGTATTTCTGTCAGTCTCCCCGTCGATGTACATGTCCTTATTTTTGAATTATCTTCAGCAAAATTTTACAGGTGAGTAACATTAATGATATTGTTTGATAATTTCTACCTTCTGTTGGATCCCCTTTCTTTGAAATGGCACGAATATGGATCTCTTCTAGTCAGCTGACCAGATCTTCCAAATTTCTTGGCATTGACAAGTGAGCATTTTTTGTGCTGCATCATTTGTTGAGACATTTCAATTGATATTTCATCAATGCCCAGAGACTTGGAGTCTTGGATTTTGCTAATGCCTTCAGTGCAGCTTGGATTTTCGCCTTCAACACCATTGGTGTTTGATCATATTCTACCTACTGAAATAGTTGAACACTGACCAATTCTTTTTGGTTCCGTGACTCTGTTTAACCCTCCATCTTCTATTGATGCTTCTTGCATTGTTCTTATTTTTTTTCTCCCATAGAATCCTTCAGTATTTCAACTCAAGTCTTGATTTCCCCCCACTCTGTTCTGTAAGCTTGAAAAATATCAAGTGTGTTTTCTTTTGGTCTTCTAACCATAGGACTTTGCACACTTCATTATAATATTTTACTTTGTCTTCCCCAGCTGCCCTTTTAAAATCTTCTGTACAGCTATGCTACTTAATTGTTTCTTTCTTTTCTTTTCTTTTTTTTTTTAAAGCTATTTCTATATGTTCAACAGTAAATTTGCACAATCTCTTCTGACATTCATCTTGGTATTTTCTTCCTTTCCTGTTGTAATGACCTTCGCTTTCCTCAAGTATGATGTCCTTGGCGTCATCCCACAACTCCTCTGGTCTTCAGTTATTAGTGCTCAACCAGTCAAATCTATTCTGAGATAGGCTCTAAATCCAGGTAAGATCTACTCAAGGCCATAAATTAGCTCTCTTGGACTTCTTTTCATTTTCTTCAGCTTCAACCTAAATTTGTGTGTTGTTATTGCTGTTGTGTGTCTTTGAGTTGGTTCCCACTTACAGAGAGCCTCTGCACAACAGAACAAAACTCCGCCTGGTGCTGTACCATGCACACAGGTATTGTTTTGTTTGAGTCCATTGTTGCTGCCACTGTGTCAATGCATCTTGTTGGGATCATCCTCATTTTCAATGACCTTCTACTTTGCTAAGCATTATGCCCTTCACCATGGACTCATCCCTCCTAACACCATGTTCAAAGTATGAGACAAAAAGTCTCACAATCCTTACTTCTAAGGAGTATTCTGATTGTACTTTTACCAACACAAATTGATCTGTTCTTCTGGCAGTCCATGGTACTTTCAGTTTTCTTCTCCAGCACCATATTTCAAACACATCCATCCTTCTGCAGTCTTCCTTATTCGTTGTCCAACTTTCGCATGCATATGAGACCTTTTAAAATACCAGGACTTGGGTCAGGTGTACCTTAGTCCTCAAACTGACATCTTTGCTCATTGACAATTTAAAAGGGTGTTTTGTAACAGATTTTCCTGACACAACACACAGTTTGATTTCTTGAGTACTACATCTATGAATGTTGATTGTGGATGCAAGCAAAATGAAGTCTTTAACAACTATAATCTTCTCCATCTATCAAGATGTTATTTATTAGTGCAGTGGTAAGCATTTTTGTTTTCCTTACATCGGGTTTCTTTACATCCATGTTGTTATTAAGTGATGTCAAGTCAATTCTGACTCATAGTGACCCGTATAGGGTTTCCAAGGAGCAGCTGGTGAGTTTGAACTGCTGACCTTGTGTGCAGTCCAGTGCTGATCCTACAGCATCACAACAGAAATCCTTACATCCATAGTGAAGACTGAAGACTATATTCTTTGATTTTCATCAGCAAGTGCTTCATGTTCTCTTTGGTCCCAGTAAGCAAGGTTGTATCAGCTACATATTGTAGGCTGTTAATGAGTCATCCTCCAATCCTGATGTCACATTCTTCTTCAGATAATCCAGCTTCTCAGACTATTTGTTCAGCATACCAATTGAATAAGTGTGGAGAAAGGATACAACCCAGGTGCACACTTTTCCTAATTT